CGGACGGGGTGTGGTGGTTGTGACTGTGTGTCCAAGGCAGGGGCCTTGAACGCGTCCCTGGGATTTCTAGAAAATGTCCCAGGAAGGTGTGGACTTCTCTCTCAGCTTCGAGAGGACACCGGCGGCGCTGGCGGGGAGCAGCGGCTCTGGGACCCGAACCGGCACCCACTCGCCTGCCCCTAGGAGCCCAGCCGCACCTCATGCCCCGGCACCACCTTGGGCAGCTGACACCCCGGCCTTTGACCCCTCACAGAGCTTTTTCCTCTCCCTTGAAGCTCACACCCACCCCTCCTCGCCCGAGGGTCCTAAGACCCAACTCGGGGCAGGTGTTCGATGTTGCCTAATTTAGTTCTTACCCTAACCCTGCATGTTGACCATTATCAGCACCACCATCTTAGCCGTGAAGCCGCACAGAGACGTTAAATGCCACATCTGGCCCAAGGTCGGACGGCACGGCCGAGTCCAGCACGCTCAGCTACGGAGGAGGCCCTTCCCCCGCCGCGGAGCCGCAGCCCCGGAGACGAGGGGCGCGCGTCTTCCCTGGAAGGCGGAAGCCCCGTGAGGCGCGCTGTCTCATTAACCTTGCGAAACCCCCCGCTCCCCACGGTGCCTGACACGCACTGGCGGCCCCACTGGGGTCTCAGGGACTGAACGTAGAAACAAGTGTGCGAATCAGCACGTAGACCTTGAAAAGAGAAACCCTGAGGCTAACGAGATGCCCTTACAAGACGCCGGGCTGGGAAAGGAGGGGTGGTTTGAAGGCCGACTCCGTCCTTCAGACGCAAAGCCACCATGGACCATCATCGGGCTCAAGGAACCCTCCTCAAAACTGGACAAAAGGACAAGCTTTCCGAGCACTGTGACGAGTTGAGACACGGGCTTGCATCGCTGCTACCTAACGGCATATGAGAGCACGCGCCACGCCCTGGGACTCGGTGCGGTTAAGGGACGTGGCCCATGGGGGCGCTGATTAGGGTCTCGGTGAACCTCATCCTGCTCCCCCCCCTTCTCCAAGACCCTTTATGCCCACTTTCACGTCCTTCCTCGTATCCTAGAAAACAAGGGAGCGCAGCGGCACCGCGTGCAGCTGGAAGCTGAGCCTGACATCCCTCCTCGTGGCTCAGCGGCCGGTCCCGCGGGGGCTCCGGAGGCCCCCCCCGGGACCGTCCGCGGACCATCTGCCTTTGGAACTCAAAACAAACCGTAAATTTCTGTCTCCTTCAACCGCGGGGCCATCGTCCCCGCGGTCATTGTCTGGCTTCCCAGCTGAGTTAGCAAAGTCCAGAGACGCTGCCAACAGTGTTTGGCATAAGACAGGGACCGGAAGGTCACATGCCTCTGTCCTGTCTGTCCTGACCTCTCACTTGCTCCTTCGTCACCCCCGGTAGCCCTCTGTGATTGATGAGAGGGTCAGGGACAGGCCACGAAACCATGGGAAACAGCTTCATTTCCACGGGAATCCCTGCCTAGGGCGTGACCTTGCTCGGAAAAAACAATACTCTCTCTCTCTCTGTCTCTTTTTTTGGTTTGTTTTATTTTTAAATAGCAGCACCAGGAGGGTGATGTGACTGGGGCACGGCGCGCGGCCGGGGCGCGGCGAGGCCTCGGCGTGGTGTTCGGTGCCCGCGTGTCCAGGGCCGCGTGTCTCCTCTGCGCCGTCAGAATTGGGGACGTTGATTCCAGGTCTTTGTTGAGCACAGCCGGCTCTGGTCTGTTCGATGTGTCTATCCATTCGAGAAGCATCCACTAACCAACGCCCACGTGCCAGACGCCATGCGGGGGAGACAGGGCCAACGCAGCCGAGCAGTGATGGAGGAGGGACATCTATAGCTTGGTTGCTGTGTGCCAAGCACTGCTCTGAACTCTCTGCGGCGTTAGCTTATTTAGCCTCGTAACATACGTGCATACACACACACACACACACACACACACACACGAGGTAGAAACTATACCATCAGCATTTTACATAGAAAAATGGCGGCTTAGCCTTGAAGCAGCTCAGCGAAAGCTCAGCTGGTCAGTCAGCGCCAGCGGCACGCAGTTCTTTCACCCAAGAGGAACGAGCTTAAAGCAAACATCGCTCCTCCAGAGGGTAAGGGAAGCGGCTGCCGGGGCTGGCAGGCGGCGCCCAGCGGCCGGTGGGGCAGAGGCGACAGGGGCCGTGGTGATGGTGGCGGTGCTGACGCGGAAGACGGTGGCGTGGCTGCCCTGGTTCACGTGCCGCGGACGGGCCAGTGCCGGGCCCTAGGTTGGGCCTGGAACTTGAGCAAAGCAGACCCGGCCTGTGCTCTTGGGGACCGGACACTCTCGTGGGGAGGCCGGCGCCGCCCCCGCCAGTACCCGCAGGCGCGAGGGCCGTGCGGGGAGACCCAGGGCCCGGGCCACGGGGTGGGGGCGGCCGCCCTCCCCACGGTCTCCCGGCCGCCGCGCGCGCGAGCGTTTGACTCCGCGAGGTCACAGCCTGGGTGCGTGGTCATCAGCATCTCCCGCCTGCTCCCGTCGGCGACGAGGAAACACCGAGCACACAATTCCCACGTGTGCGTCCGACGGGCAGCTGTCCCACGTGCCCCCAAAGGCAGGGACAGCTTCGTAACCCTGGCAACACCGAGCACGCCACTTTATAAAGCGCTGGTTGTGGGTACATTGGGCTTGAGAATCATTGTAGTTTTAGCAACCCAGCTGCGCCTGTTTCTGCCGATCCGGACTGTCCTCCACGGAGCCCCGGAAGGGAATGACTTACGCCTCGGCTCGTCCAGCGGCAGCAAGGACCGAGGGGCCCCGGACCTTTCGAAATGGGGCTTCCCAGCCAGTGTCCCCGCTCAGGGCACAGATTTAAACCTGTGCCGCCCTAACGTTGCTCAGACCCTTTCCGACCGGCGCCACGAATATGAGTCATCGAGAGAGAGCGTTAGCTTCCTCTGAACTTTTCATTGAAATTTCAGCCAGGCGTTTCCAACTGATTTCAGTTCAAAACAAGTTGGTTTGTTTTTTTTCTCCTGGTAAAACACAGGGCAGGAGGGCGGCTCGGGAGGAGACGGGAGCCGCTGCTCGTCCACGCGCGTTACCGTGCGGCGGCAGGAGAAGCGCCCCCAGGGGCCGAGCTGGACCGCACGCCTGTCGGGGGGCCCGTCTCTGAAGCTGCCGCCGGCTGCATCCCCGTCCACTTAAAGGGGAAGAGAAGGCGGCAGGTTTGAGCTCTTGTTGGGTTCGCCTTCCGCTTGTGCGTTTCTTTCCCATGGTGTCCAGCGGCTGCCCTGGCGGGAGGAAGGGGGGTGAAACCATATTCCAGGAACCGGGAAGCTTCAAAGCCAAGGTAGAAACACTTAGTCGCTATTAAAAACTAAACAGGTGAGGTGGCAACGTGCAGAGCCCGGAATCCGAGTGGCGGGTCCCAGACGCCCGGGTCCCCCCCCCCCCCCGTGTGCAAACGTCCGCCCTGACGCTGGGGCTACGACCCTGTGGGCGCGTCCGCTGCAGCCACAGAGAGGGCCCGGGGCAAAGCGGACGCAGGGGAACTGAAGGGGGGAAGGCACAGGGCCGGCGACCAACTCCGCATCACGGCTTTCAAATCGCATTTACGACGCGGAGGGAAACTACGGTGTGACTCAGTATTAATGGCCTTCTGTAAATTATGCCGCAGATCTGCCCATCTTCCTCTCCCTCACGCCCCTCCCGGCTGCTCCGGGGCCTCTTCCTTACTTCAGGCGCCGTCGCCGCCGCCCCGCAGTGGGGACAGAGGTGCAGACAGCAGCAAAGCCCCTCTGGCCACACACAGTGCATCCCCGCGCGGCTCCCCAAGACGTTGCTTAGCATCAGCCCTGCCCGGGAGATGAATGTTAGCAGATCTGTGAGCAGCAAAACCAAGATATTTTTAGTCCACTTTGGCAAATATTTTTGTGTGTTGACGATGTTGCTAAGCGCTGTGCTGCCTGCCCACGGGAGTCAAAGGTGTGCAAGACTCAGTTCCCCCTTCAGACAGCCCTCATGCCCGGCGTGGGAAGCACGCGCACACGTCCACAACCTCGGGCAGCAGGGCGGACTCTGCGCCAGCGGCGTGTGTGACGTGCCATGGTGGCCGGGAGGGTGGCCGTCCAGCTCTGCTCGTGTGCGACGGCTTGTCCGTGGATCCATCTTTGAGATGTGTTGGGTTTCCTTTTGAGCTCAGACCTGGGGTAAAATAACAGACAGCTGAGCAGGGTAGTTTTGAAACCAGGCATGGAAACAGTCACAGCCCGCAGGGGCGCCACGCCCAGAACGCCCGACACGGCGACCCTCTGACACCTGGAAAGCGGGAAGGAGCATAGCGCGCTAGGCCCTCCCTCGGCGCCCGTGGGGGGCTCGCAGCACAGACGACGCCCCAGCGGTCGTTCTAGAACAGTGGGCAAGGGGCTGTGGAAAACCAAGTCCCCGTGAACGGGTAGCACGTACCAGAGAAGCCAGTCGCCAGCGGGAGAGTTTAGCCCGTAGCAGGAAATGGTGGAGAACATGCAAATGCTGTCATTTCATAGACGAAGAACTGAGGCCAGGCAGCGGAAGCTCGTTACTGGTTTCGAACGTAATCGGTCTAACTGGCGGCCAAGTGGGACGGGAGCCCTCGGAGGCCCCGTGGGCCTGGGGCCAGGGCTCCGTCTGTGGACCCCACGGGGCCCGGCCCGCCCTCGTCCCTCACAGGCCGGGCGCTTGTCCGTGAGCGACTTAAATTCTTTGTCATTCCGTTTCTCCACCTGTAAAATGGGAACGGTGCCGTGGCCTCTGCCCTGCGGACGATGAAAACACCGTGTAAAGATAAGACGAGGACGCAGGGATATGCACGGTCACGGGGACCTGACAAGCGTTCGATGGTGACTCCCGGGCCCTGAGCGTCCCGCGTCCTGCGCGGCACCCTTTCGGCCGCAGCCGCCGCGCGGGGCCAGTCCCTTCTGTTTCTGGCGCAGAAGGAAGTGTCTGTTTCCGCTCCACGTGCTCACGGGGCGCTCTGGTCCCCTCTGTCTCTCCTTCAGGGCCAAGGAGATCAAGACCAAGTTGGGGGCGCTGCTGCAGAAGCCAGATGCAGCTGTCGACCTCATCGTTCCAGACAACGAGAAGCCGGAGAAGCCAGCCAAGGCCCGGAAGTGAGTCACGAGCGTGGGTCGCACACCTGGGTCCCCGGAGTGGGGGCGAGGGCGGGGGCGGGGACTCGGTGCTCAGCCACCCTCCGCCGAGGCCCCCGGGCCGCTGACTGGGCTCAGGAGCTCCCCGGGCTGCTTGTGCGTGAGCGCCGCCCTCGCCTCTCCTGCGTCGGGGGCGTAATTCTGCACTTTGGCCGGACACTGCAAGGAAAGGGGAGGCCCCACCTGGGGACCTTGTTGGAGACACAAACCAAACCTTAAAACCCGGCACCAGCCACCTCGTTCCCCGGTCCCTGCTGCCCTGGGGTCAGGTGACCGCTGGTGATCCAGTTAACGCAGACCACTGGTGTGCACCTGCCGAGGGTCTCCAAGCCTTCCCCCCATCCCCTCAGCAGGGACGGGCAAGGGGGAGCCTCCCCTTGGGGAAGATGCTCAGATCAAGGCAGGTCGCTTAACCCTCTCGGTTTCTTCTCCAAGACATTGCGTCCCCCGGGTCCCACGGAGGAGCAGAGGCCGCTCCCGGCTGGAGGCGCACGCACTTGGCCTGCTATTTCAGTGTAACGCCCATCCAGCAATTTCCCCCCAATCCGTACTTCGGCGTTCCCGGCGTGGGGACTCCTCGGCCGTGCCCCCCGCCCCCCGCCCCGCAGCTCCCTGCGCGCCTGCCGTCCGTTTCGCGGGGGCTGCAGTTCCACACGCCAAGCTGCGGGGCGGGGGCCCCGGCTCGCCGCTGGCACGGGCTCCCCCCGAGCTGGCGACGCGACTCCCAGCCCCCCACCGTGGACCTTCGCGCCTCCGGGGACAGCCTGCCCAGACCCGGACAGGAGCCCTCCGCCTCCCCTCCGGGCCCCGGACAGGGAGGTGGCAGGCGAGAAGCCAAACGCATGCAGGGTCTGTCACCCCCCCCGCCCAGCAGCTCTGAGGCGATCCCAGGGGTGTGGTGAAACAGAACCTCCCTCTTAGCCTCCACTTCTTTTTGAATTTATCAATTTGTACAAATCGGCCCCTTTTGTCTCTGCACAGATGGCCTCGGACTTTACGATACGGGGTCCTGGCTGGGAGGTGGGCGAGTCATTCTTTGTTCACCTTTTTTCCATCCACCCCAGGGGATGTCTCCACCCTCCTGTGTTTATTACTTCAAAGCCACCCCCGCCGGGCGGGAGGCGGAAGTGAGAGTTCTGCCTCGAGAGAAAGGGTGCGGGTTCGGGCGGGGTGCCGGCCGAATAAAGGCCACATTTCGTAGCAGCAGCTGGTCAGAGGGTCTGCGTGGAGGCCAGTGGCACAGTGCTGGCTGCTCCGTTGGAATTCGCTTTACAAGTACACACAGGGGCACACTTCCCGCCGGGACTCTCTGCCCACAGACCCCTGCACTACAGGGCCTCAGGGAGACGCCGTCCTGGAAGAAAACCTGGGCTCTTATTGGATTGTTTTCTTGCCTTCCAACCCTCCTTCTTGGGGAAGTCGGAATTGTTTTGGAAAACGCGTGATGTCCCCGGAGACCATGTTCTCCACGGAGCGTTCCCTTGTGTCCTCAGCCCAACCCGCCCGCCACCGCCTGCTGCTTGCACTTCCCAGCCTCTCGCTAACAGGACCCGGCTACGGTCACATCTGCTCGGCCATCTCTCTTCTCCCCACTTTAGAATTTCTCCGCATTGTTTTTTATTCTTGTTCTTCTCTCAGAGAAGAAAATAAACCTCAGAGGGTAAAATAAACCTTCTCCAGATGGAGAAGGTATTTTTAATCCCTTTTATCTTTCCCAAAAAAAAAAGGCGATCCTTTTTTAAAAGACATTTTCTATCTTTTTTGGTATATTTTTATTCTTCTCATTAGGAAAAAAAAATATTGAACCATGGAAAAAAATGTTTAAAACGTCGCCTCCGTTGCTACCACCCAAGCCGGCCTCCCTGCCCAGTGCAGAGCGGCCGGGGGCGGCGGTCCCCTGGCCCCTGGCCCCTGGCCCCTGGCCTGTGGGAACGGAAAGCACCCACAGCTATGCTCCCCCAGTGCCCCGGCCCTTCCGTGCCTGTCCCTGCTCTCCCGCTAGATGACCCTGGACGTGGGAAGCCACTGCCCCAGCATCTTCTGAAACTGCCTCTCCAGCCCCGCCCACTGGAACCGGGGAGCACTCGCAGGCCTGGCCCTGCCCAGGCCCCCAGCCGGCCCCCAGCTGGGCCCCAGCCTTCGCCAGCCACCTCAGCCCGTCCTCCGCGCTGGCCGCCCCGGTTCCCCCGGTCTGTGGTTCACAATGTGAGCCGCGACAACCCCGGGAGCTGACACGGCCGTGCCTGCCGCGCGCCTCTGGCGTGGCACACCCTGCTCCCGGCCTGTGTCACGGCCTGGAGCTCCCCTGGGACCCGGGAATGGGACCCGGCCCCGCATCAGTTCCAAGGGGTTTCCACGCGCCCTGTGGCTGTCGGCCTCGCGGGGACGAGAGAGGCGTGCAGACGGTGGGGTCGCAGACAGACATCACAGAGCGGCCGGTGTTCGCACCTGCGTCCCGGCCCGGGGCAGGAGCTCCGGCCGCGCCCGTGGACCCGAGACCCCTCGCTCTGCGGGGCGCGGCGCGAGGGCAGAGCGGACGTCGACAAGGGCAGTGAGGGCTGGAGTCCCATCTTCCATGCCAAGAGCACGAGCAGGTCAGGACGGTGTCGCGAGTGTCCCAGGGACCCAGGCGCCGTGCAGGTGTCCAGAGGAGGGAGACCCCTGGCGCTGTGAGAGGCTGCAGCGTGACCCCACGGCCGCCGCGTTGGAGTTGCTGGGGTACAGGATTACTCTGGGCTTTCGTCGCCCGGCCTCACTGGGCAAACCGAGCCGCCGTTCGCCGATGCCCTGAGCGGGCAGAGCAGGGTGACAGGCCGGGAGACGCCGCAGGGTGGAGTGGGAGGAGCTCCCCGTGATGGACAGGCCGCAGGGAGGCGCTGCAGGGTGGAGTGGGAGGAGCTCCCCGTGATGGACAGGCCGCAGGGAGGCGCTGCAGGGTGATGTGGGAGGAGCTCCCCGTGATGGACAGGCCGCAGGGAGGCGCTGCAGGGTGGAGTGGGAGGAGCTCCCCGTGATGGACAGGCCGCACCTGCAGGCAGCGAGCCCTGCGCCCCCTGTAAGGTGCAGTGAAGGCACAGACTGTCACCTCCTGGAGCAGGTGGCGGACTGATCGCCTCTGTGAGGTTTACTCCGCCGCCCTCTGGCACCAGCGCCCGCGCGCCCCACGTCCACACGGACCACGGTCCGGCTGCGCGGCCGGCCAGCCGCCGCCTGGAAGGAAGGCCAGGGCACTCCGTGGGCGCTCAGAGCTGCGGCTGTCTTGTCGCTGAGGAAGACCTGATGAGGCCGCAGGCTCCGGGAGCGGGGACAGGAGCGCCTGGTCCCCAGGCCGCGCACCTGACCGCGGGCTCCGAGCCGCCCACCTGCGTCTGGCCCGGCTGTGCCCTTGGATCCGTTCAGACTAATTTGTCCCCGCATGGGCTGTGCACGGCCCTCTTCCAGATTTCTGCCTCGGCTGTGATGTGCCGCCGGCAGTGGTCATTAGTCCAGCTCTCCCAGGCGCCTGGGGACAAACTGGCCCCGGGGACGCGCTTGAATCGAGTGCATTGTTGGTGGCATTTCTTGTTTCTGTGCCCTCCTGGGGCCACCGCGGGAGAAGGACAGGGAGGTGACTTCGGGAGGATGCTTACACAACAGGGAGATTCAGGGCCGGGAGCCAGCCTGCCTCTCTGTCCAGTGATTTCACGTCCTGCTGTGTCTGCGGGTGGAGAACAGAGCTCAGCAGAGGCTCAGCGGACGTCTGTTACATGAAAACCACAGGCCCACGGCTGTGACAAAGGGGAGGCGCACGAGGCCAGCGCCAGAAACGTGCTGGGAAAGAGAAGGACCTGCTGTGGTCCCAAGGGATCGGGTCCTTTCCGGTTAGAGACAGGACAAGGCAGAAAAGTGAAGGGACATACCCGTAACCACACGCATGTCCTTCTCCTCCCTGAGCTGCTCATGCTGGGCAGGAAGGCCCTTCCTCAGTGGAACTGAGTTCCCAAGGATAAGGGCTGCGGTTTTGGCCTGGGGCGCCTGGGCCCTTTGCCGGGAAACAGGAAGAGACCCCTCACAGCGTTTCAGCGAGACTGTTACCCCCGTGTCTGGCGTGTTCGACCTTCAAAGAGTGAACTTAACACTTCGTGAGAAGTCACGGAATTAAGACGCCGCACCCCTACGTGTCCTACCAAGGGGCGGAGGCGGGAGCGAATTGTTCTCAGGACCTTCGCCCAGGATCCCCGGGCCCCTCACCATCTGCGTAAACAGGGTGAATGAGCCCGGGAGCCTCCGCAGCCTCTGCTGCAGAATCGTTACAGCCCTAAGATACTGTTTTTTTAAAAACCCACGGCAGGGCTTTTCCCACGTGGCCTGAGCAGGGCGTAAACAAGAGCTAAGGAAAGCCCGACTAGGAGAACGCGCCTCTGCGGCCGGAACGTCCCCGTGGAGCCAAGCTGTCACACCACAGCGCGAGCCGGCGCGTCCCGGAGAGCACAGCCCGCCCGCTCCCGGACAGCCCTGCCCCCTTGCTCCATCCCGCGCGGGCAAGCGGGCGGTGGGAGGGACCGGCTGCCAAGCTGTGCACGCCCGAGTGCTGGAATGAAAGCAGCCGCGGGGGCCTCGGCCAGGGGGCTCCCACCAACCCCTTGGAGTCTGCGCCTGGGCCCTTTGTGTGCGACGTTGCTGTTCTCCGCGGAGAACCGCCCCGCTTCCTAGAAAGCAGGCCAGCTTTTCTAAGTCGCCAGCCTGTCCTAACTGGGCAGGAAAATGCACCCCGATCTTAAGAACGGAGACGCACCCCCGTCACATCCCCAGCGCACGTTACGACTTCCTGCAGCCCCCAGGAGACGCGGTGGGACGTGGGTGTGGCATCCCCGGCCCCGTGGCCACCCAGTGATGCCTCGGCCAGGAGGTGGGTGGGCACCCACGAGTCCGAGGACGGGGCCCGACCCGGGGTGGCCCCTGAATGTCAGTGAGCGCCACCGAGGGAAAAAGCACAATGGCAGCCACTGCCACCACGTCTGCCAGAATGTCAACACACAGCTTCGTGACAGAGAGACTCTGCTTCAAACCGAAGTGTCCAAGAAGAGGTGAAAACGTACCCAACAAACAGGCATCTGAGAGCAACCCCAGCAGCTAGAAAGAAGCAGCTCTCCCTCCCTCGAGCTGAGGGCGGGTCCCCTGTTGTGTCATTTCTAAGCAAAGTGGGTCCGCGTTGTTGTGGGCGTCTGTGTGGCGGTGGCTCCTCGTAACGGGTCTGCTCTGTCCCCCCTGACACAGGCCCTCACCGGAGGAGGCCCTCCAGTGGCGTGACTCCCTGGACAAGCTGCTGCAGAACAACTGTAAGTCCGCTCGCTCTTCATATGGTCGGGGGAGGGGACAGAGGAGGAGACGCTCTCCTGTGGCCTGTGGCCTTCGTCCCCAGCTTTGACATTTCTGAAATTTTCCAAAGTGGCCCCAACAAGGGAGGGTGTGGGGGGGTGCGGTGGAGACCGTGGCAGTGAGGACGCAGGCAGACAGGCCACGTCCACCGTCCGTCCACATGCGCGCTGTGTCCTGACCCACGTGGAGGTCACGGGCAGAAGGGTGACAGCAAAGGTCGCGCGTATCTGAGAGATACATTCATCAGCAGTATGTGCTAAAATGCGAGAACGCATTTTAAAACACTGCCAGTTTGCATTTATTATATTTATATATTTACATATGCAGTTTTTATTTATTTTCAGTTACAATCTAGAAATTATTAGACAAATATAAAAACATAAAGAATAATTTTTTTTCTTTCAAATAACGGAAATATGGATATTGCTAAAAAATACAACCAAAAAATGTCTTCAACATTCATTAATCAAAATCTTCAATAATTGGCTTTGCAAACGTTCATAACAGTCAGTGCAAACAATATTTCCATGCTCAAGGCATAAACACTTTTCACAATATTTGCAACAATTTTTCCATAATGACTCAAGAGATGTTGAAGAACTTCAGCAATATATCTTGGATTATCAAACCTCTATTTTTCCAACCATTTTCAACAGTAAATGAAAAAAACCCACAACACTGACTTCAAATTACACACACACACACACACACACACACACACACACACACCTACACCAACGCCAACTTCAGAGTTCACGGTATCTCTGCGGTGCAATTTACCATTGAAAATCACACACCCTTACAAAATACATGTTATAACCGAAATGACGCCTTAGATGTTATGGCTTAACCCACAGATAGCCGTGACCTTGAACCTGGGCACCCCACACAAGTAACAATATTTAAGAAAAGAGTTTGTCTGTATCTCTCAGATCTGCTGCGACCTCCGCAGGTTAGTATGTTCATCTGCAGCAGCGATCCTGCCGTGTCTCGCTGGGCCCCGTGACGGGTCAATAGGGGCTGGAACGGCGCGGAAATGTCACAGAACCATGACGCGAGGGCGGGTAGTGTGTTCATTGCTTTGGTGACCCGGCCGACGTTGCAGCGCCCCCAGCCCTGGCTCCCTCTTCTGCCAGCACGCGTGTCATAGCTTTCCTCAAGACATGACAAAACTGTCCGTGAGGACACCTTTCCAGGCTAATGCCAAGACACCTGAGCACACCTTTCCCCTGACCCACAATCCTTAGCGTTCCCAGGGCCGCCTGGATCACGTGCGACTCCCAGCGTTTCAGCCTCTCCATAGCAACAACGGGGCTGGTCTGCTGTCCCACCGACCTGTTCTCCCGCCCTCTGTCCGGAATGCTTTGTTCGTTTGTTTATTATGTTTTTAATTTATTGATGTTAGACTGAAAGATACGGATTTGTTGTTCCACTTATTTATGCACTCGTTGGGTGATTCTTGTATGTGCTCTGATTTCATCTCTGTTCTGTTGCAAGTCTCCCTGTCCTATCAAAGCAGATCTAAGTACTAAGTGCGGGGTCTCCCTGACCGTCCAGAAGAATCCTTCCTCCCTTTGACTCCCAGAGACGTTTGCCTGCACATCTGTTTCGCTGCTTAACACGAGCAACCTCGTACCCTGTGTTTGCCACTTCGTATTCTCTTTACAAGCCCTTTCCCTCCCACTAGAGATTACAAACACATTGGCAGCCGGGAACTGGTCTTTTTGATCCAGAAATTTCACAAAAGGAAGTGCACAGTACGGGGAAAATAAATATTTGTCGAAAGGTTCACTCTAAAAAAAATGAATCTACTCGAGATATCCAACCCGCATTTCTCCATCCTCACCACAAGAATGGAATATGGACCTTTGTTAGATGCTTTGCAAAAACAAGGATTTAAAAACATTCCTCACAGGGTCTTCATGACCAATAAGCCTGGAGTAGCTAACAAAGAACGTGTGTTCTACTGCATGTGAACGTTTTTAACTGTTTTTGGTGGGTAGGCGTCTGCTTACCTGTAAGAGGCAGAACAATGACCCCTCCATTTTTGGAACTTTCTCAATTGTGACCCATTTTTGATCCTCTCCTTATTTTTGGTGCCAAACAGAGTTCCTTGCTCTGGCACATACAAAGTGTCTGATAAATGTTTACTGACTTAATGGGTGATAAAGGAATTCATTCTGTTTCTTGAAACCCTAATTCCGTGCGGTTAACTAGGAGAACAGTGTTTGCGTTTATGAATTGACTTACTCGCTGTCTCGCAGAGTGGTTGGGGGCCAAGAGCGACCTGACAAGGGACGTATTGGTACCTTGCGGACGCTAAGTACCCTCGGGCCAGCGGTTCATTGCTATTGTCAAGAAACCTGAGAGTTAGCAGCAGGATCTCCGTGTTTTCAAACCATTAAGGAGAAGGATATACATTTACGAGCCCACATACAGCCCTTCCAGCCACACCAGCGCTTAGGGCCCTGTATTTGGAGGTTTGGGGCTTTGGGGGGACAGAAGCTGCTGGGAGGAGAAAGGCAGGCGGGGGGTGAGCAGGGGCAGCGTAAGCGCCGCGGCGTCTCTTGAGGCTCTTGCGTCTCCGTCTGAAAACAGGCAGGAGCTTGAGGCCTGAGCTTCTGTAATGTTTTCTACTTTTCAGAGAGTAAGTGTGTGCACGTGCATGTATGTGTCCTTCGGTGGGGCCGCTGCCCGTTTACACGGGTGTCAAAAGAGACCCCATTAGGGCAGCTCTGGGACGTCATGGCGGTCCCAGCCCCGAGCGTCTCCACGGCCCCAGAGGAGCCGGTGGCTCGTCGGCTTCCTGGGCAGCGATGCCCAGCCAGGTGTGGCAAGAGGTGTCCTGAGACCGTGCAGGCTCAGCGGGCAGACGCCTGGGGATCTCCAGGAATGGGGGCGGGGACACCACCAGGGAGTGGGGCAGGCGGGGGATGGGGCCGGGCAAGGAAGACCGGGGTGCTCCGCGTGGAACAGAGGCGCTTGGCCGGGAGTCTAAGTGCCTCGGACCTAAGGGTCGCTCCCCCAGGGTCCCGGGAGCCGAGCAGAGGGCGTCCGAGGAGCAGCCCGCAGGAAACCGGGGGGCGAGGGGGAAGAGGCATGGCAGCAGCTGCAGGGGGTCCCTCCGCATAAGGGACCCTCCGCGCAGCCCCGGAAGCCAGAGGAGGAAGGGACAGCTTTCAGCAGCTGCCAGGCCGACAGAGCTCGAGCCCTCGCTCGCGCCTCGGTCCAAAGCGGCCTGTCGGCAGAAAGCCAGGCAGCGATAACAGTGTGCGCAGTCCCGCACACAGTCCCGCAGGGCCCGGCGCGGCCCCCCCGCCAGGCAGCCTGGCCACACTCGCTCCCTGGACACAGTCACCGGGGAATCCGGGCCCGTGTCCGCGGGGCATACATAATGTTCGGGAGACTGGGATTCTCTCTCTCCCTTTCACCAGAGGCAGAGCGACGCAGGGCCTGCTGGGGACGCGGGGCTACTGGCTGCGAATCGCCACAGGCTCCTCCTGCGAGGTCCAGTCCTCCAGGCTCAGGGCGGGGAGTGGGGTGAGGGGGACCCGTCAGCCTCGGTCCCTGCGCCCCCTGCCCGGCAGCGGGAAAGCAGCGGGCGTTTCCCCTTGGATGGAGGCTCCTGGCACCGTTGTGTAGGGATCAGGGAGAACTCGGACCGAGCCGCGGACGCAGGTCTGTGATCTCGTGCGGCACCTGCGCTGACAGCCAGGCCGGGGTCGTCCCAACGGGGGGTTCAGGCAGGGAAGGGGGAAACGCAGCTCATTTTATCCAGGTGCACACTGTCCAATAGCTTGAAAATAATTTTTGCAGCTCTGGCTGGTGTGGCTCCGTGGATTGAGTGCTGGCCTGCGAACCAAAGGGTCACCGGTTCGATTCCCAGTCAGGGCCCAGGCCTGGGTTGGGGCCAGGTCCCCAGTGGGGGGCGCCCGAGAGGCAACCACACAGGGATGTTTCTCTTTCTCCCTTCCCTTCTCTCTAAAAGTAAACATACGAAATCTTTAAACATAAATAAATGTTTAAAAAGTCATTTTTCCAGCTCGATTTCTGGAGAGAGTTGTTTATCAGGCCAGCTTTGCTCCCCGGAGTGTTGCAGGTGTTCCTTCCGTAAGAATTGTTTTTAGGGTAAGCACGGGGAGAGGGAATGCCAAGTGTCTCGTTTAAGTCCAGGAATCGCCAGTGACCCTGGACCAGGGTCAGTGGCACGCGGCCTCTCTGTCTCTCTGGAGGCGATGGTGGGGGCAGGGCACCTCGAGACGGTGGACGCGCGGCGGCGGCAGCCGGACGGGAGGGCAGCGGGTTGGACGGCCGCGCGGATCCGGGCGTGCGGTGGGGCAGCCACGGGCTGGGCGGTGACTCACACAGGGCACGTAGTGTCTCTAAAGAGGAGCAGGAAACACACTCCAGGGAGAGGGAAATGAATGAAATTAGGTCAAAGGAAATGAACGCAGGGCACGTCCCCAAGTCGAGCTCATGGCTGGCAGAAGTGCCTGCCGGCAGGGACAGGCTGGCGGCCAGCGGGGCCCGAGGGGCCGCAGGTGGTGGCGCTGCCTCTGCCCGGGGACCCGGGCGCCGCCAGGCAGGCCCCTGGGGGCGGGCCTGCCCTGCCAACAGTCCGTGCAGATCTAGAATGTTCTCTCTGCCCTCGCTGGAAGCCTCCTTTCCTTAGATAAGAGATGGATGCGGCCTCTCTCTCTGTACAGATTGACCAGCACTTGGGTGTTAAGCGTATATGTTCGTACAGAGAGATACACAGTCGGCTTTAAGGAGGGAGGAAAGGACGCGGACACAGAGGGAATCGCCCCGTATGCCTCCCCGGCGCCCCGCTGCGTCCCCGGCAGCCGGCCTCCCCCAGCCCGTGGAGGTTCCCCCCAGAGGGGCAGAAAACACACACACACACACACTCACACACACACAGACATGGAGGACCAGGCCCAGATCCTTCCGTGCACAAGTTCATATGTAGAAGTAAACCCGTGTGTAGTTTTAATTTTAAGCGGAAGTCCTCTGAGCGGCCGCGCACGGGACGCGGGACCAGAGCCATCGCGGTCACGTGGCGCTCGCTCAGCTGCAGGCCCGCGTGTGACAGCCGGCACGGCCTCGGCCTCGGGGCTCCCGCGTGTCCCTCGGCCCGAGACCCAAGGCTGCTCCCCGCTGAGGCCGGCGCGGGCCTCCGGCCACTCCCTCACCATCGTTCCCAAGGTCCTCCCTTCGTCGTGTGCATGAGTTTTGCGAGTTTATTTTCTTTCTGCTTCCCCCAGAGGCCATCCCTCCATGAGGCAGGACCACGTCTCTGTCCCTCACCTCATGACTCAATCTGGTGCCTGATTTGCTCAAAAATCACCTGTAGAAATTTAAAAAAGGGACCGCCAGGCATTTATACACGATAATCAACGTTCGTATTACTTACACTCCCAAACCGAGTTGTAGGTGTGTTTTCTCGCTAACTGTAACCCAGGGTGAGCAAGCATCGCGCACCGTGGCAGCACACCCCGCGGCTGAACACGGGTGGGCCCCCGCCCTGCAGACAGGCTGCCTGCGGGTTGGCGCCCTGCTCGCCTCTCGCCGGCTGGCGGAGGAAGGGCGGGTCACGCGGGCTCTGCGACCTCGCGGTGAAACTGGGCGTTAGTCACACCCATCTTTGCCGGTTGTCAGCGGAAGCAGAGGAGGGAGCTTTGTGAGGCTCGTGCACAAATGCCAGAAACATCCGTGTGCCGTGCGCTGGCCTGGGCGACGCAGCAGCGTGGAGGTAGGTGGCGGCGAGAAAGATGAATCTGTCTAGTTCATCGACGACCTTTTTCCTTCCCAGATGGACTCGCCAGCTTCAAAAGCTTCCTGAAGTCGGAGTTCAGCGAGGAGAACCTGGAGTTCTGGATGGCCTGCGAGGACTTCAAGAAGGCCAGGTCCCCGGACGAGGTAGCAGAGAAGGCGAAGAAGATCTACGAAGAGTTCATCCAGACGGAAGCTCCTAAAGAGGTGGGTCCCGGGGTCGCCGCAGCGCCTGCGCGTGGTGGCCGCCCGCCTGGGCGAGGGGCTTGCTGTTTTGGGCTCCAGACAGCGGTGGGCTCAGGGTTCCTTCTTCAAATGCTGGTGTTACCGTGAAACCAGGAGACTTGATAACAGAGTTTCAAAACAGATAAAATCCGGGCAGAGTCACGAGCACCAGCAAAGGCGGCCCCATTCTAAGGACCTGGGGGCTCTCATAAACGGCCCGGCCCACGTCCTCTGAGCTGTGAGACGAACTCACACCCGGATTCAAAACCTGGGGCTCTGGTTTCAAACACGCCCATCAGCGCTGTGACCTTGAAGAAGCCGCTTCACCTTGACATATTGGTACACGTTTTCCCGGGTCCAGAGGAGCCAGCGAGGCACGCGTGTGCCCGCGGCCAGGGCGCTCTGGGACCGCGTGCGGGCCTAACGTGGCTGCATCTGAACCGGAGTCGACAGGTCTCAGAGCCCCGGCGGCCCTTCCCCCGGCCCAGAAAGGAGAAACCACAGTTCTCACTTTTTTTTTTAATCTTCACCCAAGGGTATGTTTATGGATTTCAGAGAGAGAGAGACAGAGAGAGAAAGAAACATCGATGGGCAAGAGCAACATGGGTCCCTTGCCTCCTGTCCCCGCGCCGACCAGGGTTCGAGCCCGCAGCCTTAAGGTGTTCGGGACGACACCCCCGCCCTCCGGGCCAGCAGCCGGGGCGGCCGTCCCCACTCTCTGGCTCTCTCCCCTCGCGCGTTGTGTGGGTGAGGAGCCCCCCTCTGCGCCCACCCTCACGGCGACCCTGCCGCCCGCCCACAGGTGAACATCGACCACTTCACGAAGGACGTCACGGTGAAGAACCTGGTGGAGCCTTCGCTGAGCAGCTTCGACGTGGCGCAGAAGAGGGTCCACGCCCTGATGGAGAAGGATTCGCTGCCCCGCTTCGTGCGCTCCGAGCTCTACCAGGAGCTGATCAAGTAACCGCGCGGCGGCCGTGATGCCGCTCCGCACCCCACACCGCCGACCGACCTCCCCTTCACTGCTTCGCTCCCAGACGCCTGCACGGGGAGGGGGGGGCCGGGGTTGCCGCCGCGTCAGGCCCGCGTGGCTTTGGACGGTTACTGTGGAAAGCCCTCCTTCCCCAGCTTCTTCTTCCCACCCCGATTCTTGCTTAAGCCCCCTCGGGACATTGTAGTCAAACCCAGTCAGGTTCCCAGGAAAGCTCTGCCCAGGCAAGGGAGCAGGGGCAGGCGGGCGAGGCCCCGAACGGAGGCCTCTGGGTCAGGCGACAGGTCCCCACGCAGGGCGGACCGAGGACAGGGCGTGGGAGCCTGCTGCAGGCGAGGTGCTTTGGTCTCGTTTGCTGTTTCCGTTCTGACCCGGGGGCCCCACCTGCGTGACCGTTTCTGGCCTTGGCTGGTAAACGGTGGTGAGAATTTTGGGAGGCAGCCACTGGCCCGTTTCTTAAGCAAATCATCGAAAATATTGACCTTCTCCTAGAGAATCTTCACGTAGCCGGAGATCACACACCAGACATGCAGCCGTGAATGTGTCGTGTTGACCTGTCTGCACACGATTAATAGTGGTTCCTCCTTTACCTCCCTCGGACACCCCACAAAGTTACCAAAGCCGGTACTAAATCAGCCACCTAAGATTGACAATGGGCTATTTTATAAAATGCACCTCCGGTACATGGGCCCAAAGATCCGCTGTTCCTGTTCTTATAAATTCGTGGGCGTATAAAACTCTAAGAGTTCTAACGCCAGGGTGTAAAAACAGTAACCGTCTCTCACCTCCAAATCTAGAGGGCTGGGGGCTAAAACGGGAAGTTCATCAACCAAAACGCTGAACGATCCCGTGACGCTGTGTGTTCCGTGACGGCGGTCTCGGAAACACGGAATCATCGGGGGAAACACGGATCTGACAGCACGTGCGGGCTTTCTAAGTGAGAGACGGCAGCAGAGGACTCCGCGCCCCGCAAACTAACCTGGTCGCCCGGCAACCCCAGTCTCCTCCCTGCTGCGCCCCCTGCTGCGCCCCCTGCATTAGGAAATTGTCCCCAGGGGCCCCCGCACCCCAACCTGCCTCGCGCGGCTCGCCGACTGCCATGGCCTAGTGATTAGTTAGCACTTTTAATTCTGTACGTCACTATCGTAAGTATTGCTAAGGTGTATTCTTATCTTTAGTGGATCTGATTAGGTTAAGTCACCATTTACCCGGTATAGTCACGGGGAGAACCACAGTAACCCGTGGGCAAGGGTAGCCAAGAGGAGGCGGATGCGTGAACTAAAAAGAAAGCGTTCTCGAGGATGAATAAAACCCTGAAATGTTTCCGTGGAAGGTCACACGGCCTAGTCTCGGTTTCCTGGCTTCTTGTCCCCTCCACACACTCCTGGCCCCCCGAGTTAGTAGCCCGTTTACTCCGCTGTTTCCCAAGACTAAGGAGAGGGAAGCTGTTGCATCCCAGTGTCCCTCAGGCAAAGGCGGAGGGTGTTTGCTGGGGGTTCCCCATGCTTGTCACCTCACGGGCCGCCCCCTGTCCCGAGCCTTGGCGTCCGCTGCACATTCTGCACGGGGACGGGACTGCGGGGTCCACGGCCAGCAACGGCGGGGGGGTCTGTCCACATCTGCCACGGAGGCCTGCTCCAAGGGGACCCGGACACCGCGCCGCCATGGACAGCGAGGCCCGGTCTCACCGCCCTCACCCCCTGCATCCACGCAGCTGACCGCCCCGGGTGGGGGGCACCCCGGGCCCCCCTCCCCGCCCCCGTCCCCGCGGCCCCCCCTCCCTCATCCCGTCAGCCCTGCGAGGACCTGAGGACCCGAGGACCCGGGTCCGTTACTTTTCCTTGGATGCCAAAACATTTTAGAAAACTTTAATGAGAACACGTCATAAAAAAAAAAAAAAGGAATGTTTTATTCACATTGTTTGAAAGAGCCCCACCTTTGAAAATGCCCAGAGAACTCCCTGGCGTCCCCGAGCTCACCCAGCGGCGGCGCTACCAGCACGCCGGCCGCGCGCACTCACAGGCGGCCCGGGCCCCGCGTGGTGCGTGTGCTTGCGGGTTCACCTCTTCATTGCTGGGCCCGCGAGGCAGAGGCTGGGGGCGGGGAGGCCCCGAGGGCAGCTGTGAAGGGGACAGAGGGAGGGGCGCCCTGCAAGCGGACGGTGACGGTGACCGAGCCGTGGCCTGGGACCTAGACATGTGCCCGTGAGCTTCAGCCCGAGGCTGCAGACACACGAACCTCTTCTAACGGGGCAATGCCACTCGAAGGAATGCGCACACCACGGCCCCGGAAAAAACGCCGAACATGTCCAAACTGCCCTAGAAAAGTTCTTTTGACTCTTTTGGAAGTGTTTTTAAGCTTGCGGGGGGGGAAAGAAAAAGGAAAAATGCTGAGTGACTAGAGGTCTCCATGGTAACACAAGGACGACACACTTTTTTAATTCTAGGAAAGGTGATCTGGGATCATCTTTCCAGGAAAGGAACTGTGTAGCCTCTCCTCTTGGCTCCCGTCCCCGCCCCCTGGTACGTGGCGGGGGTGGGGGGGCGGGGGCGGGGGCGGGGGGTGCAGACCGCGCAGGCGCCCCGGTGCGTGCACGCCTCGCGGGGACTGCGCAGCCACAGCCGCGAGTGCACCTGGGACGTGACAGGTGGGCGACTGGAAGGGGAATCTGCCCCGCCTTCGGGGAAACCGAGGATGAGGCCGGGGGGCGGTGGGGACTGAGCGCCCTGCCTGGGCGGGAGGAAGTCCGGCGCTGGGGCCAGACTAAACCGGACCAAAAGAAGGAGACGGACCGCGGGCTCTAGAGCGAAGCGGGCTCGGTGCTCCCGGTTCGTCCGCTAGAGCCGCCCTCGGTCACGTGAACACCCCCCCCGCGTGCACGCCTGTACTGGCACGCGCACGCACACTCACGTGCACGCACGCGTTCTCTCTCTCAGACAGACACCCTCTGAAATCCGGAACCCTCTGCGGCCTGTTGGAAACTGTCTTCCAACCACCAGAATCGAACATCTGGAAGCGCCCAGCTCCCCCCGCCGCCCCACCCCCGCACGCTGCATGCACCCCGTTCTCGGCGGCGGCGGCTCGCTTTAAGCCGGTTTCAGGTTTTAGTGCATCGAGAAGGGACTTGAGGCAGGAAATTGCTTTTATTTGTATCCTTTACCAAACGTGGCGTTTGGCTCAGCTGGAGGGTTCTCTGGGTACAGTCCCTTTCAATAGGTTGGAGTCAGCAGTTATTTCCCAAAGCAAAATGGCTGTGCGGGAGCGTCACTAAGAGCTCGGCCATCGGCCGATCGACTGATACACTCGTGCGCGTCCCCTGGCGGGGCTCTGTCCCGCTGCCTGTCCCCTCCCCATCTGGTAACTCGAGAGTCACCGGAAAGGCTACCTGTGTTAGAGGGAAATCGTTTAACCCCCGGAGCCGTTCCCTCCGGCAGGCCCTGGGCCTGACCCCTGGGGACGCAGCAGGTTTGGGGGAGAAGGGGCCCCGAGATCAGGAGGGAAGAAGAGGTGCCGCGGGGGCCGGCGCGGCTGCCGGGAGGCGGCAGGAGGCTTCCGGCGTCTGAAAAGCCACCCTGCCCTCACGGTCAAGCTTGGCAGGAAGGCCTTTCTTGACTCACAACGCAGCCCGATGAGAAGCTTCATTCAAAATCCTGGGGAGTTTGTTTAGTTTTCATTGTTTCATGGGGAGTCTTGGTAAGAGAAAAGAAGCATCCCGAGAGTCCCCTGTCCCCACTCGGTTTGTACGCACCGGAGAGCTGTGGGTAGGGAACTTGGTTCCAACACCCAAGCGTCCAAGCCCAAGGCCAGGCCACCAGGCGGGCCCTGGACGTGGGGTCCTGGTGCGTCGCCGGGTACCCTGACTTGTCATTAGACGTCTCTGGTCGTCTGGGCTCCACCCCCTCCCACAGGTGCATGGTTGACCTTCACCTGGAACACGGCTCCTGGTGGCCGGTTCGGTGGCTGCTGCTGTGCCACACACACGTCCACGCAGGCAGGGCCTGAGGCCGACAGAGCCACGGACGCCCAAGGAAAGGCTCCCGGGGCGACCGGGCCGAGCAGCAGTGCCAGCCGAGGACGCAGAGGTGGCCCTGAGTGAAAACAGAGCAGAGAGTGAGGGCGAAAAACCCAGGCACTTGGCAACAGTGTCGTGTCTCACAGCTGAATGAGCGTCTTGTTTTTCTAGTAGGGAAGCTACACATCAAACTCTTTAACATTCCTATCCGTTCAGCCAGCCCCACGCATCCCAGGTGAGCAAGGCCCTCCGCCCCTCCCCTGCCCGGGGACCCCCTCGGCACAGTGAGCTCTAAGCCGGTTATGGGGCAACACACGTGCTCTGCGGAGAGCACTGCCCGCCCTTCCGGGACCGCGTGTGGGCTGAGGCGTGGACGAGCCCGCGGGACGCGCTGAGAGGCTGTCACTGGGCAGGAGGAATCTGGGTTGTTCCCGCCGGACGTCCGTTTCCGGTCATAGGTCAGGATTCGGGGGAGCTAAGGGTGTGTAAAATACCGCAAGTCGTACTTATCTTCTGAGGCATGGCCCCGAGAAAGGGCGGGCAGGACGGTCTTGGAAATCCGTTTGCCCGCATCCACCCTGTAGAATTTATTTAGGGAGAACTGTGTGTATCTTGCGATGTTGTATCCAATACACTGTGCACCCTGTGACCTATCCTTCCTGGTAAACGAAGCACCAAACGTGTATCTGTAACCACGACCACATACGATCAATAAAATACCATGTATCTGCATCACGGCCGCCTGCGCGTCTTTCTTGACTCTCGCACACGCGTTAGGTGAGACTCTCCCTTCGGGTGGCACGTCCCCCGCGGTGCGGTGGACACCAGGGGAGGCCTTGGCCGGCGGGGACAGCTCCTGCGGACGGGCTCCACTGGACGGCAGCCCAGCCTGCGGCCCCAGACGGGAGCTGCCCACTCCGCACCGCTGACCGCTCCCCCTCTACTCAGGGGGACCCAGCTCTCCCCTGTCAGGAGGGCCCGGGCGCCTGGAGTCGCGTGGCCCCCGCGTGGCCGGCCACGGAGCACCGTCCCCCTGTGTCCTCCGCCCGGGAGGGGGACAGGGGAGGCCTGAAGTCGGTATCACTGCGAGCAGCTCAGCTCTGTGGCCTCGGTCTGGAGCCCCGAGAGGTTAGGCGACAGGCTGAGGTCCCCAGGCCGGGGGCGGGGCAGGAGTGTGGGGGGAGAAGCAGGACCAGGCGCAGAGGCACCGGGACAAAGCGCCCTGTGGAGAGGGCGGTGGACGGAGGGACGGGAGGGGCTGCCGGGCGGACCGTGCACCTCGCTGTGCCCCCTGCGCAGGCAGGGCCCCTGCGTCCCTCGGGTCCCTCCTCCTCCTCTTGACCCTCACGACCGCGGAGGAGGCTCTGAGAGTGTCTGTCCGGAAGGGGTGGGAGAGCCGAGACCGGCGCCACGTCTCCGTCCGCCCACAGAGGAGGCGGGGCTACTCTGCGCACCAGCGGCAGAGCCCGCGGTCAGGCTGGTGCCCCGCAGACGGCTGGGTCCTCGAGACCGAGGGGACGCCATGCGACCCGACGGAACACGGGGTCATCCGCTCCGGCCGCCGCCGAGCAGGGTCAGTGCGGCCCGCCGGCCGGGCTCCGGAAGCCGCGCGGCTCCAGGGCACAATGTGCCCACGTCGTGCGTTCCCAGGCGGAGTGTCCGGTCCATCACTTCGCCCACAAACCCCTTTCCAAGTACCTTTAGCCCTTTGCGGGCTTCCCAAAGCCCCCGCGTGCTCTGCGCTCAAGGCCGTCCCACCGGGCGCGGCCCTGGTCCCGTGCCCAGGACCCCGCTTCTCGCTCAGGCCCTGCCTCCTCAACGCCCGAGCTCGTTCCAACAGTAAAAACTCGGTGGGAACGTCGGTAGGAAGCGACGCCGGTGAGGAGTCAGTCTGTGCTGGCCGGCCAGCCTCACGGGCGGCTGCCGGGCCTTGCTCCTGAGTCCCGGCTCCAAATCAGAGCCCCGAGAGCCCGGGCGGGCCGGGGGCCGGCGTGGCCGCGGCGGAGGCTTTGGGCGGCTGAGCTCTGTCGTGAAGCCGCGCCTCGTGACCGTTGGGAAGGAGCTGCTGTGGCACGTGCCCCCCGTCTCAGGGGCCCTGAACCTCCGGCTTCCACGCCGATTTCTTGGAAAACAGACACAGAGGAACCGGTACCTGGAGCCTTTAATGAGAAAGGGCGGCAAGAATGGTGTTCCCTTGTTTCTTTGCACAGAGCAATTACTTTGACTGCTTTTTTGAAAAGCTGCTAAAAGCACAGCTTCTGCATGTACTTGAGCTTTGCTAACGAGCCTACCGATGAGGCGCAGGGAGGTGAGGAAGGGGACGAACGGGGGGGGGGGGGGGGGGGGGGGGGGGGGGGGGGGGGCGAGGGACAAGGACGACACACACGCTCCCATGCGCCCGGCCGGAGCTCCAGCCGCGTCCCCGCCCCCCGCAGCGGAGAGGCCAGCAGTGGGCGGGGCCGGGGCACAGACGCCCTGGTGCAAAGGAGACACCAGCCCAGGGGCGGTCGCCCGCTGCTCTAAGAGGTGCTCTGCGCTCCGCCATTGCCAGGAGGCGGCGCCGAGACCCACAGGCGCGAGACGGCCTGTCCAGAGGGGCGCGTCCGGGTCTCGGGTCTCGGCAGGCCGGTCACAGGCCTGGCCCCAGCCTGGCGTGGCTCTGCCGCGGAACCCAGCGCGCGCCGAGCGTCCTCCACTCCTCGTCCTCAGGCGGCCGC